CTCCTTCCTGCACCCCTGGGGACGGCTCCCTCAGGGGGTGTGGGCACCTCCTTCCTATACCCCTCTGCCCTGCTGTCGGCTGGCTGGACCACAGAGCCCTGGCTGCCCCCAGGGCAGGGTCTGCATGTCACCTGGGGGTGGCTGGAAGGCAGGCAGTAAATCCACTTGTGGGTAGGCGGATTAGTGAACAGAGGCTGGAGAAATCCTGGAATCAGTTGATTCTGGGTTTCACCCCCTCTCCTGGGAGGTGGCCACTAAGCTCCTCAAAGCCACTCTCAAGCATTTCGCAGAGTGAGAGTAAGGCCAGTTCTGCCACACACCTGGCTGTCTTTGGACAGAGTCAGGGAGTGGGAATTCCCATGTCAGCTTCTCATACCTTAGACATTTTAAGAAATCTAAACCCAGTTTGCATCAGCACATATCAAGAAGCGAGTCTCGGACTTGGCACAGGCTGGGCAGTAAGGCTCCCTTCTGCGGTTAGCAGCTGCGCACCTAGAAGGCTTGCAAAGGAGGCAGCTGCAGCCTTCGCAGGGTCCTTTGTTGTGACATTATTAGGAGTTTCAGGGGAATGACAGCAGGGTGATAATCCCAGTTGGCGGACACTGGACAGGCCCCGAGTCCCATGTGGCCCTGGGAACACTGCAGGGACATTATACCTGAGGTTGACTCTGGACACACGGGGAACATAGGAGGACTGGAGGAGCGGAGCCCAGGCTCTGTGTGGGGGTCTGGGGGCTTTTGCTCATTCACTCACTCGCTTGCTCACTTGCTCAGCTTAGCGCCTGCTCAGTGCCAAGTCCTCGGGTTGCTGTCACACTCGGACCTGGTCCTGCAGGGACAAGAAGGGGTGAGAGGAGGGTGTTCAGCCTGGGCAGTGGGTGAGTTTGTGCTGCCCTTCTAAGTTTTCCTTATTCTTGAAATGTTTGTGTGAGCGCAGGCCAGCAGGCCATGAGGTCAGGAGCTCCTGGGTGGAGAGGGCTGGAGGCCGGCATGTGTGGCTGACTGCTCAGCTCTGCCCTGCCCGTGTGTCTGTCCTTTGACCTGAGGAATGCAATCCTCCCCAAGGTTGATTTGGGAATTGGGGAGATACGTGGCACACAGTAGGCATTGACCCCAGAGAGGCCTAAGCCCGTCATGATTCTTGGAGGAAGATGGCCCTTCCTCTGCTGCGTGGGGAGCTGACTTTGGGCAGAAGGGAAAGCCAGAAGTGATAGGAAGTCCCAGGTTTCAGTCCCCTCACCATGTCCCAGCTGTGCAGTGCTGGGACAGTTGCTCAGCTGTCCCCATCTCTGGGTCTCCTCGCCTGTGACATGGGCTGTTATGGCAGTCACTTTCTCCAGCCTGGTGGCATCTGTACGACTGTCCTTTGCATAGTCAGTCCTGCAAAAAGAAGGCAAGTCCCCATTCAGTGCACACTGACCCCGGCTGCCCGAGGGCTCAGAGGGGGACCGCTGGCTGCAGTGAGTTGCTGTCGGGGATGGACATCCTGGTGGAACAGCTGGGGCTTCTGGCTGACCCTGGTCTGGCAGCCACACTTGTGGTTACCATGTATCAATCACTGCCATGAGCCAGGCCCTGTTCATTTTCCTGGGCGGTTCCACTGTTATTCCTCAGAATAACCTCAGGAGTGTCTTTTCCCCATTTAAGACGAGGAAGCCTGTATGTAGAGGGCATGCGGTTTGTCCGGGGTCCTGGTAAGTGGTACAGCCAGAGGCGTTGCTGCCCCTTGAATATGGGCCACGTGGGTATTTTTTTTTTTTTTTTTGTACAAAAGGTCTTTATTGGTAGGGGGAGGGAGGCTGCAGAGCAGCATTGAGGGGGAGAGAGATAAGGAGAGAGTGGGGAAGAGAAGAGAGAGAGAGAAAGTAGAGTGAGGGGGAAGACGGGAGAGAGAGAGAAGGAAGGCGGAAAGAGGAGAGAGAGAGCGGCCACGTGGGTATTAAAGTCCCACGTGGCATGTCTCCACGTGCAGCCTGAGGAGGTGAGAAAGGGCCTGCTAGCAACCGTGGCCAGTATCCACCCTGACACAGTCAGTGACCGATGTGCCCTGCGTCAGGGTGATGAGATTACCCCCATAGCCGCGTGGGTGAACAGAGCGCAGTCCCGAGTCACCAGACACAGAACACTGTACATAACGTGATAGTTTATAAAGCTTGAAAACGAGCAAAACTTGACAAAAGATCACATTTTAAGAACTTGTGCGCATGTGGGAATGTCATTTGAAACACAGGCAGAGTACAGCAAGCTCATGGTTCAGGCTGGCGGCCACTCTGTGGATAGGAGCTGGACAGGCCCCTGTCGCCCCTTCTGGCACTTTCCTCCTGGCCCCCATCTCTCCCGCTGCTGATGGTGAATTTCAAATGTCAGCACTTTGCGGTCTCTTTTGGCTTAAATGTTTTTTCTCTCATAAAAAAGCAGAAATGCAGGAGGGCCCCTCCTGATTTTCACACTTTACTCTTCTCACTTCCCCTGAACCCTCTGCGTGTTAGGAGGTACTAACACTTTTGATTTCTCAGAGCTTCTTGATAAGAGAGGGCAGTGGGCATTTTCTTAAGTAGCCCCTGGTGCCTGTGAATTTCCCTGTTTGCCACTACTATGCACACTCCTCCGAGAGGACCAGGGCAGGAGCCCTTGGCAAACAGAAGGTGCTGGTCCAGCCTGGGCTCTGCGTGTGGCCAGGGCTGGGCACGTGGCTTTCCTCCTGTGACTCTGAGCTTTAACATATCTTCCTCCCACCCCCAGCCATTCCCAGACACGGGAAGCTCCTCAAGGCCACAAACTTGGGCACTTGCTCTGGCCACTCTGGTTTTCCCTGACCTCTGCGTCCCTTCATTAACCTTCTTAGTGTTACATGGGCCTGAAATTCAACGTTCACATTTGCCACCTAATCTTTTCTATGACAACTAGTGGGGATTATTTTTTCCAGACCTGGGAGAAGGATTCCAACTACTTCCCTCTGTGCTGTGGGGATGGGGTTTGCTGCCATCACAAGATGTAGTGTCCATCGTCTCCACGGGCAGCAGTGTCCATGGTGGCTGGGGGCGGGCAGATATTCCT